TATAAGGCTGTACATGGTCTAGACCTTTGAGATACCTCTGAGCTTGTTCATTTTTATGCTCCAGAGAAGACACTTAGGTTTTATTAACCAGTTGTTCCTAGAGGTGCCTAAACCCAGACTGAAACATTGGGGGGGGACCAAGCTTTTTCGGTTCGGTCTCCCGTACTGTGGAATGGTCTACCACGGGATTTAGATCTGCTTCGAACCAGACTGTTTTTAGATCACTCCTTAAAGCGCACGTATTCACAGGCTTTTAACAACATCACTGATGTAATAATAATAATAATCACCTTTATTTGGCCAAGTATGTTTATGTATTTGTATTTGTATTTATTTTATTGTGTAGATGTGATTTATCTTTTTTTGCTTGTTTTACTGTAAAGCACCTTGTAACCTAAGTTTAGAAAGGTGCTATATAAATGTTGCTCGCTTGCTTTTCACTGGCCACCATATTAAATCTGTTTAGTTAAATAAAAATGGTTTTAAGAAAAATGGCATTCAAGAAAGAATTACCAGCTTATATTCAAAACATTTACTGAAATCTCAGCAGCTTTCTCAGATAAAATAGATACAATCAGTAAAGTTTGCTGTAGAAACACAAAGGATGAAACTGTAGTTCTCAGATTAACATGGCAGCTTGACATCTTCAGATAACTTTGTTTGCAATCTGCTTTTCAGTCACAACATTGGGAAACATGGAAATTATTTTTGATGGTCCAGTAATGTACAGTGACAACAGAACAGAAGTTTGTGTTTTTAGAAAGTTGTTCACTCTGGAGCCATAAAAACATCACAGTATCACAATGTTACTAGTGAAGATGGGCTTTTCCCCGGTTTAAAGATTCATCCTCAGTCATATCTTCACAGTTTAGTGTGTGTGTGTGTGTGTGTGGCACGTGTTACTCAGTGGAACTGAGAGGAGAGAGCAGGGAGGATTAGTGACTTAATCAAACTGGTAATGATGGTTATTAATAGAATCTGAGTGAGCTGTTATTTCACTGAGGAGAGCTTTTATGTGTGTGTGTGTGTGTGTGTGTGGACACATCAGATGTTAGATCCGCAGGGAGAGAACGTTAGTCTGTGACTGGATCAAATCCATCAGATCCACCTACTAATTAATGAAACCCATCAGTCTATTTATCCAGTCATCCATCAATCATTTGTTCAACTTCCAGCCCAGCTAATCACCCGTCCATCTACTAATCATTAGGCTATCTATCCATCCATTTATTCAATCATCCATATGTTCATTAATCCACCAGTCTATGTATCCATCAGGTCTGTCATCCATCCATCCACTCTTGATTGCTCTTCGATTCATGCAGTAGATCTGTCCACCTGTCACCTCATCACTGAGTGGATGGATGATAATCTATCCACCCATCTTTTCCTCTCTATTCATCATGTCCATCCATTCATCAGTTTAACTGTATAGTCGTCCAGTTATTTGTCCATCATCCACCCATTCTTTTCTCCATCACTCATCATCTGTCTGTGTGTCCACCTGTAAATCCATCACTCACTTCACCGGTTTGTCCATGTGTCACCCACCCAGTCGTCAAGTCGTCTATCTCTCCACTATCGACTCATTACTTGTTTTCTCGCTCCAGGTCACCTGACACATAACTGATGGTCGTATTGGCCTATTGGCACAAACCACACAGAACAGTCTATTTATTGTGTGCATGTGTAAATATTTGGATGTTATGGCATCTGTAGTTAAGGTGTGGTTAGGTTAGACAACCACAGTACTTTAGGTTGGGGGGTGGGGCTGTGGTTAAAGTTAATAGTAGTGAGGAACGTCAGACTCGCTCAGAGCCCACTCTCCACATCCACACCTCCATGTTTCGCCTCGGTACGTTAATAACACATCAGTTCCTGCATGTTTATTGTAAAAGCTTATGTTTGTGTTTTCACCCTGTTTGTGGTTTATGGATATGGATGGTATGTTGTTCACAGTTTACATCTATTGGCTTCAAAATATTTACTTCTCTACCACATGTCCATATCTAATTGTTCTGTGGTTGGTTGGTGTGTGCACGTACATGCAGACCTCTCATTACTCCATGACCCTCCTTTGCTGACAGGAGCTCATTTGCTCTTTGGACTCTCAACCTATTCTCCTAAACACCAGGCTGAACATAATTTTTCTCCATCTCGCACTTCTTATTTATTTGCTGTTTTCACACATTTAAAGCTTACTCATAGTAATAGCATGGGAAGTCTTTTTGCACACTAGTGTCCGTTTTACATCCTGCTTGGACAAAGTTCAGTTGTTCTTCTGACTGGGGGAGTTTGTCATTACTGTTTTATGTTGTTTTTGTCTGTGGCTCACGGCAAAGGATTGTTGGGTTGTAACTGGATGTTTTGTTTTTAATGACAGGCCTATTATAAAAACTTGTTTTCTATATAAAAGCTCAGAGTAGAAAGTTTCAATCATCACCAGCAGTTGGGTAAATGTAACCCCAGTCCACAAGACTTCACTTAACCCTCTGCACCGCCCTCACTCCTCCTCTCTGTTCCCTCCCTCCAGCCAGAGACGGCTTTGAAAAGAAGGTGCAGGAGGAAGAGGTGCACAGAAAGATGGTGTGAAAATCAGAACTTCAGCTGAGAGAAGAAACCTTTTAGCACATCCAGAAGCTAAATTGCAATCACATGTTATTCACCTCAGATGTCACTCATGAATATGCTTATCAGCCTTCGATGTTAAAGCCCAGATTTAACTTTACAGTGTTTAGTGTTCAGCAGCTGCAGTGTAAAGTTAATATTGATACTGTATGTTGCATCTCTTCCTCCCCCTTATAGTTTTTCTTACTGATAATTAGTCAAAATATTAATAACCTTGCATCATATTTAAATATTTCCCACAGTGAGTTATAATAGCAATAACCTTGTCAGCAGCAGTTAGGTTCTGATGCTAGTTCTCAGGAACTAAATGAAGGCCAAGTTCCATAATTATAATAACACTGGCCCCTTACAAAGCACCATAGCACTACCACAGAATGCATTGCAGCTAAGAAACATGACTTTCTAAATCAACTGTCGCTACATCACCTCCATCTGCTTAAACCCAAAGCATTCACTGCAAGTCAAGGCTGCTGCATAGCAGCTGTGGAGACAGATGATCAGAAATGGAAACCAAACAAAAATCAGAGGAAAAGTGCATTTACAAAAAAAAAACCAACTTATCTATAGCTTTTCCCTGAAACGTGCCTGAGATCAGATTGAGGATAACTGTACTAATAAGTGCACAGAATAAGTCTTGGTTTCAAAGGAGTGGTTTTAATACTGGTGGGAGAAAGAAAATACAAAGAGGAAGAAGAGTAGCTTCATTCAGACACAGAGAGCAGTTCTCTTTAATCTGGGACCTCTGGATTGGATGAGGACGCGTGCACACACACAGCTATCAGGGTTTGTGTTATGAGGGGAGGAGACTGTGCTGTGGTTGCCCCCTGTGGCTGAGGTCAGCTGTGGCTCAGGAGGTAGAACAGGTCGTCTCTTAACAGGTAGATTAGCAGTTTGATTCCTAACTTGTCCAGTCAACACATCAGAGTGTCCTTGAGCAAGACACTGAATCCCCAGTTGCTCCCGGTGATGACACTGCTGTGTGAATGTGGCCAAGTAGTGTGAAAGCGCTTTGAGTGTGCTGTAAAGTATAGACAAGCATCAAAGTATAAGACCATTTACCATTTGTACTGACAACAGAAACAAACATACAATTGCCTCCTTTTACAAACGAAAACATACATTGACTGATGTGCACAAAGTGCTAATTCCTCTGCAGGTTGTTATTGATCAGTGATGTCACCTTCAACCAGTCCTGTGATCATTCTGAAGAAGCCCACCCTCTATTCCATGACCCTGCCCCCCATCAGATCACTGCTCCCCCCCTAAAAAAAGGCGCAGCAGCCTATAGACAGAAGAGGGCTGGACTGTCAGCTAAGCCAGACTGTTTCTCTCCCATCCACTTATCTCTCCTCATCTAAATAGGAGCTGCAGCAGCATCCTTCCCATAAGACTGTGCTGTCCGGGTCTGAACCACAATCTCATTAACCAGACATATCGGCCTCTGCAGTACAGAGGCCTTCCTCTGGAGCTGTCACTCAACCGTCCGATTATTTAAAACTGACACGTCTGCATCCTCGCTGTGTGCTATCACTGGTATCAGTAACCAGCTCGCTGGCAGAGAGGGGGTGGTGCTGAAGGCAACGGGTGATGTTTGATTCAGGCATCAGATACAGCAGCAAGTTGCAGTGAAGAAGATCAGACTGGCTGAATACTTCAGTTTTTCATTTACTGTAGATGTTCCTCTTGTCTCTAATCAGAAGTGATTCACTTCTCTGATTCAGAGAAGATGTACTGTATCCGCTTAACTCATGATTTTATAGTCCTGATCTTAATCTTGCAGAAGTAAAGTTCTACAGCTGCCGTGTTGCATTAACAACTCTAACTGAAAATCTCAGTGCAACTTCAGCCAAAATTTAACATTTAGCTGCCAGTGACACACAGCCAGCAGTGGAAGAGGTGGTCAGATCATTTACTTTGGTAAAAATGACAATTCCACAGTGTAAAAATACTGTTACAAGTCCTGCATGCAAAATGTTGTGCCGTCTCCTAACCGGCAGATTAGTGGTTCGATTCCCAGCTTGTCCAGTCCACGTGTCGAAGTGTCCTTGAGCAAGACACCGAACCCCCAGTTGCTCCCAGTGATGACACCGGTGTGAGAATGTGAGTGCTTGGGAGTGTGAATGGCCAAATAGCGTGAGAACGCTTTGTGTGCTGCAGTGCATAGAAAAGCTCCGTACAAGTATAAGACCATTTTATTCTGTCATTGTATTTTGGTAAAGCATCCAATTGGTTTTAAATGTCCTACAGTATATAAACTGACAATGAGATGTTTTACAAAAGCTAAATGTTCCCTGTGCATGTAAGTGTTTGAAACAATATTGTTCCAATCACAGAGTTTGGTTTGATATTCAACCTTCACTCTTCCTCTTCAGGCTGTTGCAGATCAGATCCAGTCATCACATCGGTTGACCGCCCCTCCCTGATGAAGAAATACTGAAGCCCTCCACATCAAGTAGGTGTGCTTCATTTAAAAACTGCTGCTTTCTTCCAGTCAGGACCCAGTATCTGACTGGAACTACTGGGTCTAGTTTCCTTTTGTATTTTTACTGAACGTTTATGTCCTTACCATCCTGATGGCAAATGGCACTTGATTAGATTCGATGCAGTGTCGAAACAAATCCAACTTAAGTGCAGTGATGAGTGAGAAGCCTGAGCAGAAGGTTGTGATGGATGTGACAGAAGCCATGCAGATTGTTTGAGGAAACCAGTGCTGTGCTGACTTAGCTAAGTTCATAGCTGCTGATATTCAGAGTGGATGTGCTGCAGCTGTCTCTCTCTCTCTCTCTCTCGCTCTCGTTCATCCACAGTGGTAATTTCAGATCCAGCAGTCAGACACCTGCGTCTCTATTTGATAAATATTGAATCTGCCAAAGTTAGAAATTGATCTTTAACAAGGCCAACACAAACATCCAGTACACACAAACCATCATTACACCCACATCTACACAGTCTCACACACATAAATCTATTCTCTCTACTCTGGAACATGTTCTCTCCTCTTGAACCTACAGTATCACTGGTTAATGGGTTAGTGATGATTTGTTGTGCATGTACTAGTTTTGTTGCTGTCTGACATCCAGATACACACACACACTGTAAACACACAAATAGACGTACAGCTGTGTGTGATGTACGTCTGTGTTTGCACAGAGAACACAGAGAAGGTGTGACAGGCATGTTGAGTCTGTGCAAGCCACCGGCTGTTTCTGAGAGGCCAGTGTGTGTCCGTGTGTGTGAGAGCAGTCTGTCTTTGTGTACCTTGTAGTCTTCTGCAAATGGAGCTGAACAAATACAGTAACATAAATACGTTCTGAGTTGGATAAAGATATGAAAGGAGGTCTGATGTGTCACGCTGCAGCAGGTGCTGCAGAGCGTGCTGACTGCACGTGTACAATCATAATAATGAACACTTTCCTGGCAGCATTGTTAGAATATGATTCTCTATTATATGAGCTTTTTTTTTTTTTACCTAAAGTTCATCTTTATCAAATCCATAGAATGTACCTTGTTTAGAAACATCTTCAAAGTTATTCCAAATTCTGACTCTGGCTGTTGGACGATAATAGTAAAAATACAATTACAGCACAAATGTGTTGCTTTAAAATTGTACTCTGATACAATTACAAATTACTTGTTTGAAAAAATGTGTGGTGGCGCAGCGATGAGAGTGATTAGAGTTGTCGCTTCACAGTAAGGAGGTTCCAGGTTTGAGCCCCGGCCGACTCAGGCTCGTTCTGTGTGTGTGTGGTTGTCTGTCTACATGTCAACCCTGTGATAGCCTGGCGACCTGGACCCCGCCTCTCGCCCAGTGTCAGCTGGGATTAGTCTGGCAAACAAACATTAAGAGAACTTTCACTGTTTTTCTCAACTTACTGATTAAAAAAACAAACCAAATGAAAACTAGCAGGTCTACCTGTTACAAATGAAAGTGCAGAATATTTAGTAAACATAAAATACTCCCCTTTTTACAGGGTAAACAGATTTTGTGCTTTGTTTCAGTACATGAGTTAAGAACATCCACCTTGTTTAACAGATCAGACGGTTTATGATTAGGTTCATTAATTGTTTCTCCAGCGATTCCTTTCTTTGTGTGCAAATAATGCACATTACACTGGTAGCAGTAATGTTAATTATGTACATTTAATTTAAATGTACAGTTATGTATGCTATATGCACTTGACACCAAAATGCCTCCCTCGGTGGTTTGGTTAGAATAAATGTAAATTAAGGTTAGAGGAAGCGTCTCGACGTGAAAGCAGGTTTTGACAACAGAGGTGCAAGATGAGGTTTCACTGGAGACCAGAGCGGTGTTGTGAGACTGAAGTGTTGTCAGTTGTCAACATGTACACGGTAGTATAGCTGTCTTTATTGTGCAGTGTTGTAATAGTAATCCTGCTAATGTGGTCGCTTTACTTCCTCTAACTTTGACAGAATACAGTTCCCTTTTTTTGTTTGGGTTCCATGTATTCCATTACTCCCTGAGCCTGGTTACCACTTAACCATACATCACAAGAAAAATGTCAGTGTTTTAGGTCATCGGAGTTGTGGTGCAGTGTTTGACAGGTTGTGGTCTCACTGGGTTATGAAAGTCAGTCTGAGCGGGGGACGCTTATCAGCAGTGTAGTATTATAAGAAAACTGAGATTTCCATAAAGCTTTTAAATACTTGCATCTCATCTTTTTAGACATGAATCAACATCATGTGAATGTGTTAACATTGTCAATGAAATTTAAAGATTAGAGAAGAAGTGCAAAGAGCTCCAACATTTAATGGCAACTCCAGCTGCTGTGAAACTTTATGAGGCAGCAAAAAGCATGCGGTTTTAAAAAACGATTTTATGAAACAGCAGACATGTTGATAAATCTGAATTATGAAACTATAAAAGTCATGTGATGGATCACCCACAACACCTCAGCAGCACCACCTCCTGTCCTCACCGCTGTCAGCGTGGCCTTAATCTGCTCTGCTGGGCTCCGTAGACATACATGAGTCTGAGTCTGGGTATCCTCATGGCTGCCTGTCCATGCCCTCTCTGTCCTGTACCTGAGTACTGGTACATATTACTCTCTTGGGAAGCAAGGACACATCTGTTTGCCTGCAAAAAACAAGTGTATCAAGGACGTTTCTGCTGCCTCTTAAAGCCGTGGCGAGGGCAGCTTGGCTCTGTGCTGCAGCTGCTGTAAAGCAGAGCAGGGAAGCGGCTCTGCAGTAACGATGGTTTTATAGGCAATGAAAACTAACAGTGGATAGCCTCTGATAGTGTTGGTGGTACCATCAGAGGCTAATAGCATTTATGGGCTTTTGGATGTGAACAGGAACGGGAGTATAAAGACTTGTCGCCTCATTTGTTGCTGCTGTCTTGTTTCTGAACAAAAGACCTTGTGCAAACCTTTAGAAACTTTAAGATGTAGAGATAATGTTTTCTCTTTCATTAATATCACCCAGTGCTGCAGCAGTGAGTCTTGGAAGGCTTTGGGAAACAGCTGTGAGAACAGACATAAGGACTGACAGCTCTCATTTTTAGGGAACAACTTGTGAACTGTAGTTGTCGGTCAGATTATCCCTGGCACTGCACGGTGAGCGCCAGTTTATTAAACAGATATTTGCTAGCTAGCCATCTGTTTATCAGATTTTATTTCTCCATCTCTTGTCATGTACAACATATCACCAGATAAAATTTGAAGGTTTTTCAGCTGAGATTGCTTTTCACTTGGCAAACAGTTTGGGTGTGGCAGGACTGAGTCTGCTCCACAGAGAGGAGCAGTGCATTCTGACTAAATCCACAAACAGCATTTTGACTGCCAATTGCTCAATTCTCAGAACAAATTCATCTCCTCATTGCTGACTGAATGGGTTTTCAGCTGTGCTACTGTAGTGTCCCTTTGTGAGCAGGATCTTTCACAGCTGCTAAACTCAGTTTGCTGCGAGGGGCCAAAACTGAAAGAACACTTCTCTGTCATACTTTCATGGAAGCCAAGAGAAGTGGCGTGCTAACTCCTAAACAAGACTCTGAATGTTTCTGCTGGCTTTATTGTAAAGAAAAGTGTATCTGTGTTCATTTGTTTGTGAGGGTTCACACCTCATCTCACAACATCAGTGTGACTGGTTCTTCAACATGGTTTCAATCAACTAACCCTCACTGTGTCCACAATGTTAATGACTGTGCTAACAGTAGTGATCTCACTAAAAAGTAAGTTCCTAGTTTGTTTCTCAGCTTGAGGTAGTTGAGTCTCTGCGCTCTCTTCAACTATCAGTCAGGCTGTGATGAACCCACTGTCCGCTACCTGCTCAGCAGACAGATGCAGTTATAAACCCGCTGGTGAAGAAAGCAGAGCACTGGGCAGCTGGAGCCAGATGTCTTTACTGAGAGTTGGTGGAGATCAAACTAGAGCTAACAGAGTGAGTATTGGACTAAATGTTGCTCTGTGGCAGCAGGCTCAGTGAGGGCCCAGCTGCAGACACACTGGCCAGAACACCTCGATGAACCCCAGAGGTTATGAAAAGCAGCGTTCCGATATTTACTCATGTACTTAGAGTAAAATTACTTTGACCCTTATGTACTATGCACAGTTAAGAGTTGTGCAATAAAAGTGAAAATAACTGCTGTTAATGCTGCACTGGTGCAGCCTTTGAAATGCATTCATAATCATGAATCATCGTTTTGTCTCCAACCTTCAAAATGTGCAAATGGACTGGAAGGAATGCCTTTCAAACAACTCAGACTTTTTGGCTGCCAAAAAGCAGATGTCTTGACTCTGAAATATCAAAATAGCTGAAGTCTTTGTGCGTGCTCATACAAGCTGGGAAAGTTTCTGTATTTCTATATAAGAACTTCATCTTTTCTTTTAGTAAAAAGCATGTTAATTAGTGATGATTTCCACATTTGCCATTTTGATCTACAGAGGCTCAGAACAACGACAGGATTGCTCCAAAAATAATGCATGATACATATACTTTGTGTTCTTTTGTATTCTCTTGCCGGTTCTCATCATTTTGAATCTATTGAGATGCATTCTTTCTGAGATCATGTAGCCACATGCTTGCAGTTGCAGATAGGAGTCCCTGCATGGAACAATAGCAATGAGTAGGCGTGCTGAACAAAAGCCTCTCAGCCTGTGACAGATTTTAGCTCACTGCTAATGGAAACCAGCGCTCAGACTTAAAGCGCAAAGAAAACGATCATCTCTGCTCGCTTAGAACAGAAACCACAGGGGAGGAATAAATTAATGAATAGAGGAGAGAATGAAGCCGTAGGAAAATAGAGGATTTAATAAATGCAATGGAGACAATAAATTTGTGATGACTATTATTAGTGCAGGTATTGTATCTCTAGGTTTTGACTTCACAGCTCTTGGAAGAACAATAGAACAGTGAGACTATTTATTATCAAGATGTTTCCTCTGCTGCTCAAAGTCCACATATCTTCTAAGCGTATTCATCTGTTAGGAAGTAAGCA